AAGAAAGAAAGAAAGAAAGAAAGAAAGAAAGAAAGAAAGAGAAAGAAGCTGTACCAGCATTTGCTGAAGTCTCAGGCTGGTTCCAAAAAAAACCTGGGCAGTCTTGTTCAGGATGGAGCTTTTCAAAACAAGATCTGCAAAGGGATGTAGGATCTCTGATATATCAAGCCTTTGTTTCAATATTCTTAGCAAATATAATCCAGCATCTTCGAAAACATTCTGTACATCCTATTGAATACGTATCAGAACATTCCCTCAAATGGCCAGCTAAAAAACCTGGTTCCCTATCAATTCTATCCATTCCTTCTATTTCGTACTTTACATGATGGACCTTCAGACATCTGCCAACAAAACAAGATTTTTTTTTCTTCTCCAGGTAGAACATAAGCAAATATTCCTCATAAGGTTCAGTTTCTAGAATTCTCTCAACTTTGCAGTCATTGCTCCCTGAGCACCATGCACACCAAACCTTTTGAAATACCTTTAAAATCTGAAAGATCCTCTTGAGTACTCTTACAACATGGGTACCATGATGGGCATGGATAGCCATTGAACCCTTTGCTAGAAGACAAACAAAGATGCTTCCTATCACCTTTTCTAGCCCCTGGGATGCTGGCACCCCCAGCTTTTGGCGTCTGGGCAGGTAACAGTTTCAAAGCATTATGGTGCAGCCATCCAACATGATTATTTTTTATGAATATATAAAGCATCTCTATTGGGCTGAGAAGTCCTATTCTAATTTAGATTATAACGGAGGCTGGCAATTTGCAACAGTCCATTTTCCCGTATATTTTATTCCTTCATTCATTTAGTCATTTAATATTTTAAAAGTCAGGTATGAGAAAGGGCCTGGTGGACACAAAGGAAACTGCGAGTGGACAACCGATGCTCACAAACACGATACTGAAAATCATAGAAATAGAAATATGCATCGTTACTAAGTAGGTCTGCTAGAAGTAGAAATATACACTGGGACTAAGCTAGGCTCAGATGGTACAAAAGCTAGTTTTTTTCCAAATGAGAAATCAAGGCTACAAATATCGTAATTTTCACACTACAAGACACACCAAAAGTGGGTGGAAATGTCTGTGCATCTTATAGAACGAATATTGTGGCGGGGGTGTGGTGTGTGAGTTGGTGTGGCAGCAGTGTTCACCGCCGGCACTGCCAGGGAACACTGGAACCTTCACTGCTGAGAGCTGATTGGCAGCTGGATCGGCCTCCCAGAATACCGCCGATCAGCTGTTCTACGCAGCGGGGATTACCACACCACCCATTCGCCACTGCCCATTCGCGGCAAACAGGCAGTGGCGAATGGGTGGCAGTAGGTGGCGATAGGCGGCGATGCAATCCCTGCTACCTAGAACAGCTGATCGGCGGTCTTTTGGGAGGCCGATGCAGCGCCGAACAGCTGCTCAGCAGCAAAGGCTCCAGCGTTCCCCGGCGGAGGCAGTGGACACGGAGGAGGCAGGCTGTTTGCGATTTGCTGCAAGGACGCTAGCCAGATGAATACCGAACGGATGCTGGGAGGAAGAGGCAGATTTTTTCTTTTCTTGTTTTCCTCCTCTAAAGCTAATGTGCACCTTATAGTTCTGAGCGTCTTATGGGGCGAAAAATACAGCTTGATAAAGGAGCACAAGGCAGGGGAATTACTCTTTAAGAGACCTAGCTTGATTTATGATTGAATAGAGAGGTTGCATGCCTACCGGGCAAGATTAACTCACAAAAGACTCTTTAAACTAAATTACTCCAACTCGGTGCCCTGCAGATTGCATGGCCAGTGGAAAGAAAATGTAAAACTTATTTAAAGGCTACCGGGTTGGAAAGACCATTTCCTAGACCAGACTCAGCAGGTTATAGAAGCAAGAAAACCCCCTACTTATAACTCCACATAAAATGCCAAGAAAGAAATGCCAAGAAATGGCAAGAAAGAAAGATACAAATCAATATGTGAGGAACAAAAAAAAAAAAGAACTCTGTGGAACTGGAGTTAGGAAGCAAAATCATTTTAGTATTAATGGCTTCCATGAGGCTGAAAATATACACTATTCGCAGTCTTTATTTTTAGTGTAATACAAGAAGAATATTTTTAAAAGCTCACTGCATTGTAATCTGATCATACATTTAGCAACCTTCATTGCGACTGGCAATTCTTCTTGCTGAAGCACTGCAGTCACTAATGATGTCACATGACCATGGACTAATGACATCATTCCCCATTTGGTTGTTGAGCAAACCGCTGCAACCTCAAGGGACCACAACTTAAAATGTTACGCCTGTGTTTACCGTTAACTCTGCTTGTCACAAGTCAGGTGGCAAGCACAAAAATGGCAATCACACAACTGTGGAATGTTGCAATGGTCATATGTGTGAGGATTGGTTGCAAGGTGTTTTTTTTAGACCAGGGGTCCCCAACCTTTTCGCACCCCTAGAAAACTTGATATATTCTCGCACCCCTTACAAAAGTAAATAATTATATGCATATAATTATGCATATCTATATACAGTATATAAAAGTGAAATATCGCTCACGCATCATCAGAAAATCTCCAGAACCGTAAAGCCTACTTGGCTTCTAGGTACTCACTAAGAAAGGATTTTTCGAAATGACCATCAGAGCATTAGTATTTCCTATATTATTATTATTAACATGCTCTGCTGCTAAGGAGTTCTGCTCCCCCTCCCCACCTGAAAAGAAATCTGTTCCAAATGCAAAACACTAGCAGAGAGGACTTTCAGTTTCAGTTTTAGTTTCAAAGTCCAAGCAGCTTTAGTACAGAACAGTTGAGCTAAGCCACGCCCAGGCTCCTTGCTGTCTCCTTGCTCGCACAGCAAATACTGTTTCAGTTTCCAAACAGCCTTCAACTCTCTCACACACTGACAGGACGCTAGCCAGATGAATACCGATGGATGCTGGTAGGCAGAGGCACAATTCCCACCCACCCCTTATTTTCCTCCCCAAAAACTAAGCCCGATCACATAGTTTCTAGCGAAGCACGGGTATAGAGGCAATCCTACTATATTTTTGAAACTTCTAAACCCAAGTTTTCGCACCTCCTGGAATATTGCCTCACACCCCCAGCCCCTGGGGTTGGGAGCCCCTGTTTTAGACTGTCATAACTTCAAACAGTTGCTAAACCAGGTGGTCAGTAAGAAAGGATTGCCCGTATTTGTTGCTAAAAAGCCAACCACTGTCAATAAAAGTAGGCCAACAAGAAAGCACATATCTCACCATTCAAAGTGGTCCTGGAAACCACTGATGCCTTCCCTGGAGCTGAAATAGGCATACATTTTCCGGCATCCGTTGTCGCTGGAGAGCTGCTCGGCTCCATGGCTCAGCACCACTTTCTTCTTGCTGCAACGTATCTTTCCAAGTCTGAGATCGACGGGCAACTGCGGTGAAAAATAACAAGAGAGATAGAAGAAACACTATTCAAAGCACCAATCCTAGATGGCCTCAAACAGGCCAAGATGATCAAAGTAGAGGGGAATTTAAGAAAAGGGACCAGAAGGAACAGAAAAAAAAAAGGCCACCTCTCTCTAAGTGGATAAAGGCTAAGTTTGTATAGGAAGAGATATTTCATAAGGGAATTTTATTGCCGGCATTTAATCAGGCTTATATTACCGTTATACTAAAAGCAGATAATAATGGTTTTCGGTCTGCTCATTATCGTCCAATCTCATTAACTGACGTTGCTATGAAGATTTTTTAACAGCAGTGCAGGCAAATAGATTACAGTAAGTGATACAGAGTTTGTTATTAACAATGACCAAGTAGGGCTTATATAAACGTGGCAAGCAGCAGATAGCATTAGAGCAGCCTTTGATCTAATGGATTTGAATAGAAATAAAGCTCAAGTAATTTTATCACTACGATATATACTGGAAAAGTGTTTGATAAACATGACATACTTGCTGTACTAAATCATTTGCTATGGAGTTCATAAAATAGGCTAAGATATTATATGAACCGCCAATATATAAAGTGAAGATTAGTGGCATGTTTTTCTCCCATTTCCCCCCCCCCCCCAATTATTTAGAGGAGCTAGACAAGGAAATTCACTTTCACCCTTGCTTTTTAATATTTACACGGAATGCTTAGCCTGTGCTATTAGACATCGTAGAGAAACCTATAGAGAAGGATATAAGTCCTTTGAACAAAAATTGGTTTTATTTTTAGGGGGCATTCTTTTGTTTATTTCTGAACCTTATTATAATACTATCCCGGCATTAATCCAAATTTACGTTAATGCCTTTAGCAAAATAGCAGGCTACTCTATTAACTGGTCCAAATTGAACTGATGCCTTTAAGTGAAAAATTGGTGATCCGTTCATTTAAGGAATATTAATTCTATTTTTGTATGGAACCCATTAAATACCTAGGGATCTCTATGCCAAAAGATATAACTCAGATAGCAACATGCAATGAAAATAAAATATATATCGAGGTTACTCCAGATATTGATAGATAGAGAAAGATGAATGCTCTCAAAATGAACTATTATTCTTAGACTAATTTATATTCTAAGAGGAATTCCAGTCTATGTATCTGGCAAATATTTTCAGGAAATAAATTCTTTAAAGGATATTTTTTTATAGCTCAGGGTTGAAATGAAATTCTTTGTTTAGAAAACTTCTATGGAGTTCTTTGATTCCAAGAATATCTTTGCAAAAAAATTCAATTACCTATTGAAGAAGGATAATTTTGTTTTCTGAATATGGACTTGTGTCATCATGCTGCATTTTGTAATTTCACATCAATAATTTTATTTTTTTTACTTTACTTTATGCTGTCAATAGATAGAATAAAACTGCGTGATGGCATGGTGGTGCAGTGGTTAGAATGCAGTATTACAGACTAATTCTGCCGACTGCCAGCAGTTCGATTCTGAGCGGCTCAAGGTTGACTCAGCCTTTCATCCTCCCAAGGTTGGTAAAATGAAGATCCAGATTGTTGGGGGAAATAGGCTGACCCTGTAAACTGCTTAGAGAAGGCTGTAAAGCACTGTGAAGTGGTATATAAGCCTAAGTGCTATTGCTATTGTTATCAATATGACTTTTTTTAAAAAAAAATAGTCTTATGTTAGAATGACTATTTTATGTTGGTCTATGACCAAAATAAAACAAACAAATCAGATGCTGGTTTATAGATTTTGGTTTTTGTTATTTTATTTTCAACATTTTGTGCACGTGGGAGTGTTATTGGATGTATTCCACCTGGATTTGCAATTACAGGTAGTCCTCAACTTATAACCATTCATTTTATGTTTACTTGAAGTTACAATGGCATTGAAAAAAGTGCCTTATGGCCATGGGTTGTTGTTTTTTGCCTTTTGAATTTTTAACAAACCATGACCTTTATTTGGAATTATTCTCTACAATCCTAGAGATCATAATCTTTTTGTAGAAGAATCAAAAACTGTCTTTCCAAACAAATCCACCAAAGTCAGCAGACATTTTCCTTTCAGGACAGGATCCTTCAGCAATAAATAATATATCAATAGTGACCTCAAGGCATTAATCAATCCATCAGTCTAACAGAGGACCCACGTGGCTTCTGACTTCAGAGAACCCCATCTCTAGCATCTCTAGCCATGCTGTGGGATTTAATTTCTCCTGCTCACCTCCCAGAAAAAAAAAAGTGGGGGGAGAAGTGTCATGCCTCTGAATCCCAGGAGGAAGAGGAACAGCTGACAGGGAGTAGGAGTGTGGCTCTGTTGGCTGTGGAGGAAACTGGGGAAGGGCAAAGTCCGGCTGGGCAGAGCAGGGAAGAGGTAGAACAAGGGAGAGGGAATTCAGAGGAAGACCCAGGCCCACCCCCTCTTCATCCTAGGGCATGCAGGGAGGAATGGACAAGAGACAAGAGAGCAACGTGTTGTGTGGCTTACAGGGGGAGGAAAGGGCCCTAATCCCCTGCATTAGCCACACCTGGGAAGGGAGTTTAAAAGAGATGCATGGTTGAGCGAGGCATCTTCTGGGAACAAACATGAGTCTATCTTGTGTTCACTTTGGTTATCTGAGTTCTTGACATCCTCCCAACCATGTTGAATTACTGTTCCTTCAAGTCTGGAATTCCTTCTCTTGCCCTGCCAGACTAATTACCTCATCTTGCCTTGATTGGACTTATAGTTATAGTTCTTGTTGACCATGTTTTGGATTTGATTCTCTGCAGTCAAAGGCTGTTCCTGGGAGAGTTTTTCTCTAGCCAGAAGGTAACCAGGACACTGGGGGCAAAGTTGGAGCTAATAAAGGGACTCTTATTGATTAACTAACTGTGTTGCCTTTGTGCCATTGTGCCACGCCCCAGGTCATCACAGGAAGGATTTATCTGCAAGAGAGGTAGGATTTCTCCTTGCATAGCTTCAGATCTACAATCTCACACAAAGAAAGCCCCAAAGAATGTCTACCATCTATCGGGAGCTTACTTTGCAAGAAGGAACCCAATCGTACATCTTTTGACACGGTTAAACTAAATTATTTCTGTGCCACTCTCTGTTTAAAATACAGCCAGACTTGAACCAATGAGCCTTTTTGAGAAAAGGCTAAAAAGGAGAATACACTGGAGAGAAGGACAGGCTACCCTCTTAGAACAAGTAATAGTGACATTCTCTTCTAAAGAGCTGAAACACCTACCTAGTTGGCCAAAAAAAAGCCAGCATCCCTCAAGCAACGTTAAGCAAAGGAGATATTCTGTTTGCCCAACTCACCGAGATTTCTCCCAGGGCAGGGAAGCCAGGGTGCTGCCCCTCCAGGGCGCAGCTCACCGCCTGCAGGACACGAGGCAGGTCTGTGCCAAAGGTACGAAAGATGACCGCAAACTCCCTCCCTTCTCGATGCAAGCTTTCCAGGAGGCAGAAGAAGGAAGGCAGCACCAAGTTGTAATGCCTGGCCTGTTCATCTTTGACGGAGAGCTGAGGGTGAGGCTGACCCTGCCACTCTAGCAGCTTCAAGTGGTGCCTGTGAAGGTCCCGGAACTTCCTCCCGTAGGACGTCTCTATGAATTTGGTGTTGCGGCCATATTGAGAATAAAAACTCACAGCACCTTGGCAGGGAGGATGCAAAGAAGGAAACTCACTGACCCACTGCCACTCCCCTAGAAGAGAAAGGAAAAGGACAGATGAAGCTCTGCCTCAAAACACAAGGAGTCCTTGAGCTACAACCAGAACTGGGACCAGAATTTCCATCGTTAAACCATGCGGTGGTAAAATGTCATGTCACGTGACTGCATCGCTTAGCAACAGCAATCCCGTCACGAGCTGAATTCCACGGGTTGTCCCCAAAGGTGCTTTTTTTCAGGAGGCAACTGGATTTTCTTGGTTTTTTTCCTCTGAAGATGCTTCGCTTCTCATCCGAGAAGCTTCTTCAGCTCTGACAGGATCATGGGGAATGTCAGGATTTGTACTCCTTGCAGACAGCTGGTCATTTGCATCCTTTTAGAGCAGGAGTCTTCAAACCTCACAGCTTTAAGACTTGTGGACTTCAACTCCCAGAATTCCTCCTCCAGTCATGCTAGCTCAGGAATTCTGGGAGTTGAAGTCTACAAGTCTTAAACATGCCAAGTTTGAAGACCCTTGTTTTAGAGGGTCGTTGAGGCACTTGGAGGTTTATCTGTGTCCTCAGGGTCACCTGAGTTGTGCTCCTGGCTCAAAGAGCTGAAGAAGCTTCTTGGATGAGAAGTGAAATGTTTTCAAAGAAAAACAAAAACAAAAAAATCCTGAAAAAGCACCTTTGGGACAACTATGTCCTGGATGACTGAGAATCTCTACAGAATTCCACGGGTTGTTAACCTATCCCTATTCAAGCCCTTCCAGGATTGATCCCTCCAAGTCCCGAGCCTCAGGTGTTCCCAGGGAAGGGGCTTCAACAGACCCAACCCTCTATTTCCTCCCATCTCTGCTCTTTTGGCTGCCCTGCACCCTGTCTTGGAGGGTGTCTACAACTACCTGGAGGGAAGTAAGCAGTGGGGTGCCACAGAGTTCCGTCTTAGGCCCAGTACTCTTCAACATCTTCATAAATGACTTAGATGAGGGAACAGAAGGGGAACTCATCAAATTTGCAGATGATACTAAGCTGGCAGGAATAGCCAATCACCCAGAAGACACGCTCAGGATCCAAAAAGATCTTGACAAACTTGAACAATGGGGCCTCTATCCAACATCATGACATTTAATGTGGAGAAAAGCAAATACCTGGGCAGGAAAAACTAAAAATACAAGTACTTTGAACAGTCACTGAATGAACAGTTGTAAGTCAATGACTACCTGTACTGTTGTAACTTTTTACAATCATTAAACAAATGGTTGTTAAGTAGATTACTACCTATATGTACTACAGCTGTGATGGCGAACCTATGGCACGTGTGCCACAGGTGGCACACAGGTGGCACACAGGTGGCACAGGTGGCACGCAGAGCCATTTGTGCTGGCACACAAGCTGTAGGCAAACGTATCTCACTGCACATGCGCGCGCCTCACAGCTGATTTTTGGCGGGTTTGAGGCCTTTTTCGGTCTCCCAATTGCTTGAGGAAGGCTTCTGCAGGCTTCTGCAGGCCAAAAACTAGGACTGTTTCATCACTTCCTGTTTTTCCGAAAATACCAGAAGTGACGAAACGGTCCTAGTTTTCAGGCTGCAAAACCTGCAGAAGCCTTCCTCAAGCCTCTGGGAGGCCCCAAAAGACCTCAAACCCGCCAAAAATCAGCTGTGAGGCGCAGTGCAGGTAAGGGGGCGGGGGTGGGTGGGGATTGCGCGTGCATGCGTAGGGGGTGTGGGGGGGCACACATTGCCTTCTGTCTGGGTGCTGGCACGCGAGACCGAGCATGCAAGCGCACGCACAATTTTTGGCACAGGAGCCCCAAAAGGTTAGCTACCACTGTACTACAGCATGGTATGAAACTGCAGCTATCCTGGAAAGCCCCAGTCTGGCCCATAGCCCAATCCCACCTGCAAGTGCCTTCACAACTCTGGATTCCAGGGCCCCTGCCACCCTGTGCTCTACCACCCCAGATTTTCCTGCTCCTGTAGCTCATGAGGCATGTCCACCTTGGCCGTTCATGAAGCAGCTGCTGGCCATGTGAGGCCATCTTCCTCGGGTCTCCTGGGAATACTACCGTGTGTGTGTGTGTGTGTGTGTGTGTGTGTGTGTGTGTGTGTGATCTGGGGAAGAAAGCCTCATGCAGTCAGCACCTGCCTTATGAAAGTCCAGGCCAGCCATGCTTGGCCAAGAGTAGGAGCAAAATCCAGCGAAGGTCAGCTAGGATGGCAGGAACCATAGAGTGCAAGTGGCCCAGAAGGGCATAGATGAGGGCAGAGAAGTGTACAAAGACTTAAGGCACCCATTTTGTGTCTTAAAACTCCCTTCAACCTCCCTTCACCCCTCTCCTGTTTACTTTTTAAATGTAGCTATTGATTGACTATACATAGCCTGGTTTAAAGCTTGATGCAAATGAAGGTTGCACATGTCTATTTATACCAGGGGTCCCCAAACCTGGCAACTTTAAGACTTGTGGACTTCAACTCCCAGGATTCTCCAGCCAGAGAATTCTGGGAGTTGAAGTCCAAAAGTCATAAAGTTGCTAAGTTTCGACACCTCCGATTTATACTGTCAACTTAAAACCAGGAAATCCCTAGATGAGCCCTATTCAGCATTGAAGGGATTAAGGCTCTTGAATTATTTGTCATTTCCTAGTCAGTATTTTTTCAACCTTGGCAACTTTGGACTTCAACTCCCAGAATTGCTCAGCAGCAATTTTCATGTGGCTGAGGAATTCTGGGAGTTGAAGTCCACACACCTTAAAAGTTGCCAACGCTGAAAAAACATTGAGCCAGCCTATTTCCTCTGGGAACTGTGAAAATTAGAACTGGTGGAAATAAAACCTACAGGCCAAGAGTGAGTTAAAAGTGGAATAAGTCTCACAGCGTATATCTGCTTTAGTCTCAAATGTCATTGGTCCCATCAAGCTGATGCTTCTGTTATAAGCACAGCAGTTTCCTGACTCAGCTTTTAGAGAGACAAATAACAATATTGGCAAAAAAGATCAGAAAATAAAATGCAGGCTGAATAGTCAAGACCTTGTTGATGATCCAAACTGTCAAGGATCTTGGAGTACTCATCTCTAATGACCTAAGTGCTAGAGCCCACTGTAACTACATAGCCAAAAAGGCGTTAAGAGTTGTTAACCTAATCTTACGTAGCTTTTTCTCTGGTAATATCACACTACTAACTAGAGCATACAAAACATTTGCTAGATCAATACTCGAATACAGATAATCAGTCTGGAACCCACATTACGTATCTGATATTAACACAGTTGAGAAAGTCCAGAAATATTTCACAAGAAGAGTTCTCCACTCCTCTACTCGTTGCAGAATACCTTATGCCACCAGACTTGAAATTCTAGACCTAGACAACCTAGAACTACTACGCTTTCTGTCCGATCTAAGTATAGTATATAAAATCATACATTGCAATGTCCTACCTGTCAATGAATACTTCAGCTTCAACCATAACAACACAAGAGCAAACAATAGATACAAACTCAAGGTTAATCCCACCAAACTTGATTGCAGGAAATACGACTTCAGCAACAAATAACAGATAATCAGAGTTGGAAAGGACCTTGTAGGTCATCTAGTCCAACCCCCTGCCCAAGCGGGAGACCCTACACCATTTCTGACAAATGGCAGTCCAACCTCTCCTTGAAAGTCTCAAGTGATGGCGCTCCCACAAGAAGGCAAAGCTGTTCCATTTGGTTGATTGTTCTCACTGTCAGAAAGTTTCTCCTCATTTCCAGGTTGAATCTCTCCTTGTTCAGTTTCCATCCATTATTCCTTGTCTGGCCTGTAGGAACTTTAGAAAATAGCTTGACCCCTTCCTCCCTGTGGCAGCCCCTCAAATATTGGAAGACCGCTATCATGTCTCCTCTGGTCCTTCTCTTTGCTAGACTAGCCAAGCCCAGTTCCTGCAACCGTTCATTGTATGTTTTAGCCTCCAGTCCTCTAATCATCCTGGTTGTTCTTCTCTGTACTTTTTCTAGAGTCTCAACATCTTTTTATAATGTGGTGAACAAAACTGGATGCAGTACTCTAGGTGTGGTCTTACTAGAGTGGTATTAGTACCTCACTTGATCTTGATTGTATCCCTCTGTTAATGCAATTTAGGATTGCATTAGCTTTTTTGGCTGCTGCTGCACACTGCTGGCTCCTATTTAGCTGGTTGTCCATTAAGACTCCAAGATCCCTCTCACAGTTACTGCTATTGAGTGGTCAATGTCTGGAATACTCTACCTGACTCTGTGGTTTCTTCCCAAACCCCCAAAACTTTAACCTTAGAATGTCTACTATTGACCTCACCCCTTTCCTAAGAGGTCTGAAGGGGGCGTGCATAACCGCACCAACGTGCCTCCCGTCCCTGTCCTATTGTTTCTTTTATTTTTATTTTTATTTTTCTTATATGTATCCATGTATTCATAAGTATGTTTTTACTTATACCTATTATCTTGTAAGCTATTGATAATAAATAAATAAATAAATAAAAATAAATAAACTCAGCAGTCCAGCTGTTTAAGGCAGAGTCTACCTTGCCAAGAAGCCAAATATCCATCAGCTGTTGGTGCCATCATTTAAATCAGGGGTCTCCAACCTTGGCCACTTTATTGTGGACTCCAATTGAAGTCCACAAGTCTTAAAGTAGCCAAGGTTGGAGACTCGTGATTTAAAGTTTATTAAGTTCCACTGCTTCCTTTGCAATCTTCGGTTAACACAAAACTGTTCCCAATGTACGAGGATGCCTTTCAAAATCCTCTCTTCTCCAGGAACAGACAGAACTCAGCAAGCAGGTGTGCTCCACTCCCTCTTCCCTTCCCTGCTTCCTTCTCACTTACTCTGCTGCAGCTCTTTATTTATAATGTGTTTAACATGCATTAGGCTCTGCTAATATTGTGCTAGACACCGTATTACTAAAATCAAACAATTGCCTACCAACTGCTAATAGTCAAGCAGAATTAAATTGTTTTCAACCAATCTGTCAGGCGCAGGCGGGATGTTTTAATACTAAACAGTGAGCCCACGTAATGTTAAGATGAAACAAGAAAGATGAACAGCCGTGAGAACCGTGAGGAAATGGGCACACAACCAGCGGTGAAATGCTACCAGTTCGGCCCGGTTCATTTAAACCGATAGCAAAAAAAAGAAAAAAAAGAAAAAAGCTCCGCCGATCAGCTAAGAGGATAAAGAAGAGAAAAGCGCAGGAGTGGCCCTCCCGCCCACCGCTGCGCTTTTCTCTTCTTTATCCTCTCAGCTGATTGGTGCGGCACAGCCGCAGCTGGTGTTTGGAAAGCTGCATGCACGTACACGTTAGGTATGCGCATGTGTTAGGAATAACATAGGTTACCTAACGTAGTTTGGGTAAAATAATATATATAGACTATGATAGTGAGTTTAAGTGTATGTCACTTTAATTGCAAAGCATGTAATTTTGGGTGCGGCTGTAAATCGCCATAAGAGGGAGCAAGAGAACTTGATTGATTGCTGGCTTACTGAATTGCTTGCTGACAATGATGGATTGATGGTGTGATAACTGCGTGTTCTTTGCTGTTGCTGAAGGAAGAAAGGAGGTTTGACTTCTTCATATCTCTACTGCAAAGAGATATATTACTGGACTGATATTTGTAAGTTTAATGACCTCTTTTTCGACACTGGACTTTGCAACTGATTAATCCCCGGACGGACTGAACTAGTGTATGATATATGGACTGTTTGACTATGCTAAAACTAATACTGGAATAAACTATTTAACTAGCACATTGTATCTGTTTTACTGAGTGTAAGCTACAAAAACGTTTGTCTCACATATTTGCCTGCCTGCCTGACTGCCGTGCAGGTTCTGCTAGGGTGTATATCCCTAACAGCATGTGTGAAGTGCGCGATCACTGAACCGCTAAGGAAACTGGTAGAATCCCACCACTGCACACAACCCCTCTTGGTTGCAGCCGTTCCTGTCGCTGGGGAGCCTCCTCCATGATAAGGAATGATGGCTTATTTCCTTAGTAGCAGTTAAATGCAACCGTAGTTCTCTCCTCGAAGTCCAGGGTTCCCTCTTGATTAGGTAAAAAGCTCTTGGGTGCTCTATCTACTCCATGGGGGTCCAACTTGTGGCGTCATGTTGCTGTCACCTGTTTTAGGATGTATTTTTCCCTTCGTGGAGCTGGCTTGGGCGTGGCCTGCGCGTGACGCATCTGGCCCGCGGGCTGCCAGTTTGACACTCCTGATCTACTCCAAAACTAGGAATTGTGTGTTTGTCAATCGCATGATCCTGCAACCGTTGCAAGCCCATGCTGGCTGCCGAGTGCCCAAATTTAGAACATGCGACGGTGGGGACGCTGCAACAGTCGTAAGTATGAGGACTAGCTGTAAGTCACATTTTTCAGCATCGTCATAACGCCCAACACTTGTTAAACAAACACTTATTAAGTCGGAGGACTAACTGTACCTAAGCCACAGTTCTCTTCTTTAACCTGATTCGGGTGAGATAAATGAGCAGCATGAAAGAACGGCTGCTCTCTAGTAGAAGATATTCTGTAGTACTGTATGACTGAGATAATATGCCCCCAAAGTTGAAAATACTAAAAATAAAAAGCCACATAAATATTACATATTATTTATTCGTGACCAAAACGCGGCCCAAACACCAGTTTTCCCAAAAAAGCACACACCACCCAGAGGCAGACCAGAGGGAAGAGGTAAACCTTCTTAAACCTACAATTAACATAATGTTCGCAGCTGGATTTATCAGCTTTCTTGAGATAAACCAAACAATCCAAAAAGAGAGGGGGGGAAAAAAGCTTTTATGTTTTCCAGAACTTTTAATAAGCAAAATGGCAATTCAGGCAAACCCTAGCCTGATTTTCATGTCTGCGCCTAGTATAAGCCCTACCCAAAAAATAAGCCCAACTCAAAAAATGTAGCGTAAGGCTCACTGCCTTGCAAGCACAGGTAATCCTCGAAATGCAACATTCCTTTAGTGACCGCTTGAAGTTACAATGGCACTGAAAAAAGTGACTTATGACCATTTTTCACACTTAAGACCTCTGCAGCATCCCCATGGTCACATGATCAAAATTTAGAGACCTGGAAACTGGCATGTATTTATGATGATTGCAGTGTCCTGGGGACGTCCTATGATTATCTTTTGTGGCCTCCTGACAAGCAAAGGTAATGGGGAAATCAGATTCACTTAACAACCATGTTACTAATTTAACAACTGCAGTAATTCGCTTAACAACTATGGAAAGAAGGGTCATAAAATGGGGAAGAACTCACTTAATAATGGTCTTGTTTAGCAACAGAAAGTTGGGGTTAATTGTGGTCATACGTTCAAGGACAACCTGCATCACATACATTATCATTCTGGGACAATAGAATTAATGAAGCTGTGAAAAGGACATACAGAATGCTTCGCAGGGTAATTTTCTGCAGAGCTACTCAGCAATAAATCCTCACTGAGTTCAGAAGCTTACTTCCAAGTAGGTGTGGATAAAACTGCCGTTTTAACCTCTCTAGGTCTGTAATAACACCACCTATATGCTACCCAACTCTAGATGGCTCACCACAATCATTTCAATCAAATCAACTGAACATAAGACATAAACATGAAAGATGGGAGGACAAAAACGGCTTTGAGCTTGAAGGAAAATAAACTTTTCAATCCCAGGTTCAAAAAAATCTCAACATGCTGCGAAACATAGTATTGCTTCAATAGAAGAGATTACTTGTAGTTCAGGGTTAAACTGGGGTGTCCTTGTTGCTCTTGGAGCTGGATGGTTTTCTTGCAGATGTTTCATTTCCAAACTAAGTAATATCATCGGTGCACTGATGAGAATACCTACTGTGGTTTCTTGAAAGTATGACTTTTCCCCAAAACAACTCCTAGCTCGATTTTCATGCCTGCGCCTAATATAAGCCCTACCCAAAAAATAAGTCCCGCCCCCCATCTGGTTGTATGAGGTGGGGCGAGGCGCAGGCATAAAAATCAAGATAGAGCAGGGGAGTGGAGCTCCAGGTCTTACTTTGGGGGGGATGTCTTACCTTAGGACCACTGCAACCATGCTTCCCATGCCCTGATATCTGTCGTGCCTCTGCCCGACTTCTGCAGCCACTCGTGGCCATTTGTGACTAGATGCCATGTGGCTCATCGTGCTAGTAGCACCGCTCACTTGTGCAATGACACAACATGACATGCAGCCTCCTGCCACGAGCAGTGACACCGGTGTAATGAGCCATGCGGTGTCCTGCCACGAGTGGTGGCACCAGCACGAGTCACGTAGCGTCTAGCCGCAAACAGCCGTGAGTGGCCACAGAAATTGGGCAGCAGCGTGACAGGTGTCAAGGCATGGGAGGCATGGTTGCAGTGATCCTTAGGTAAGTGGGTAAGACATCCTCCCAAACTAAGACCTGGTGCTTATTTTGGGGTCAAAAAGAAAATAACACAGGGTCTTATTTTCAAGGAAACATGGTGATTGGGAAATGAAATATCTGCAAGAAAACCACCAAGCTCCAGGAGTAACAACGACCCCAGACTACTGTTTGTGAAACATCATCTAGCTTCTTATAATACCTTATACCTTTAAAAATCTCTCCTAAAAAGCAACGAAACTCTTCTTTCAAGAGAAAAGAAATAATTGCCACTTTTGAAGCAGAACAAAATGCATTTGGCATAAAACTGTACAAAATATTCCGAACTCAAAAAACAACTCAACCTGGAAATAAGGTGAAGTGGGGTGGGTTATTCTGACTTCACTGGATGTTTTTCAAACTTTAAATGGCCTTGTTTCAAACTCCGAATCGTTTCAGTGAGGCTAATGTGCATTTATTAATTTTATACAGCATACAATTATAGGGAAAAGCCTAACTGATGGGGTGATTAGAACCAGAGATTTTGGAGAAAGAATTCCAAATCCACTGTTTATAGTCCTCAAGATACATGTGAACAGAATCGGAAAAACCTGAAATCAAGCAAACGGTGTGCAAGAAATTCTCATTGACAAGCAGTAAAATTCCAGCATAATTTTGGAGAATGTTTTTTAAAATGTCTCCTGTATTTCCCCATAAACTATTTGACTCCATAATGTTCTGTGAAATCTATCCATTTTCACCTCCATCCCTACAACACAAGTTATTTTCTAGAGGAAAAACAATATAGGATATACCAGCAGTCATCAACTTACAATCATTTGTTTTAATGAAGTTATAATGACATGTAAAAAGTGATTTATGGTTGGTCCTCATGCTTATAACTGATCCTCACTTTTACGACCACCAGAGCATCTCCGTGGTTATGTGATCAAAACGTGGGCACTTGGCAATTGGCATGCATTTATGACAGTCACAGCATCAGAGTCACTTGAGGTAAGATGGGGAGGGGGCTATAAATTTTATAAATAAATGAACAATCAATCAATAACATCACCATTTTCAACCTTCTAAGGGGCTCCCAGCATCAAAAGTCACCTTGAGGTAAGATGGGCAGCCTATACATTTTATAAATATATGAGTGAATGAAAGAATGAATGAACAAATAAATAAGATCACCATTTGCAATCTTCCTAAGGGGCTCCCAACAAGCAAAGTCAATGGGCAAAGCTAGATTCACTTAACAATTGCACGATTCGCTTAATGACCATGGGAATTTGTTTTAACAACCACAGCAAAGTCATAAAATTTGGTGCAACTCGCTGAATGACTGCATTTTTTAGTGACAGAAATTCTGATCCCAATTACAGTCGTAAGTCGAGGACCATTTGCACATGTTTTTTTTTTCTTGCCTAATGGCATCTTGGGACATGAAACTCTTTGTTCACCATTGCAAACATTGATTTTTAAAAAAAAAAAAAAAAAATCTATCCTAGGCCCAAAAACTGTAGATGCGAATTCCCCAACATACCAAATGATCTTACCTGTGTGGCCAAGTTTTCCCCAGGTCACTGTACTCAGGTAATAGTTTAAAGCAGCACCGGGGTCCTGTTTGGTAATTGCATCAGAGACCAGGATGGTGTTGTTCAAATCGATGTGCAAAATCAGCTTGCGCTTCTTAGAACTCAAGACGGGCCCCGGAAGAAGTCTAGAGGGAATAGTGGTGGCCCCCAAGAGCTCGCAGGCTATTTCGTCTTTGTCTTGCATCCTTTCGGGAGACCGATTGCGTGGCCCTTCTTCGCAGCCGACCATCTCAACTTGCTCCCCTGGACGTCTGAGGCTGTTCTCACTGATGTCCATCCCAGAAAGAGAACTTTTTCTTTTCCTCTTGCTGGTACTGTTGGAGATAGGCTTTGCATCTACTAGTCCATCATCATCTACTATCACCTCATCACCTAATGGCATCTGCTCAGGTCTTAAAGTGCCTCTGAGGGAAAAATTATCTTTCTCCATCCAATGGTCGGAGGGATTTCTGTCCCTCAAATCCTGTAGGTCATGCTGGGCTGCGATAAATTAGAAAAAAAAAAAAGATGAGATGTTGCTTCCAGATCAAGCGTGGAATGAGTATTATTATTATTAACATACAAACTACCGCATCTTTATCTTATACAGAGTAGTGATGCAGTTTGGATTTGAAAAGAATAGATTATGGAGACGCTCACACAGCCTCTGTGGGTATCTCCTTAAAGCAGCTGTTGCATCCTTTTTGGGCTCAGATAACAACAGATAATCAGAGTTGGAAGGGACCTTGTAGGTCATCTAGTCCAACCCCCTGCCCAAGCGGGAGACCCTACACCATTTCTGACAAATGGCAGTCCAATCTCTTCTTGAAAGTCTCAAGTGATGGCGCTCCCTCAACTTGTGAAGGCAAGGTGTTCCATTGGTTGATTGTTCTCACTGTCAGAAAGTTTCTCCTTATTTCCAGGTTAAATCTCTCCTTGTTCACTTTCCATCCATTATTCTTTGTCTGGCTTATAGGTGCTTTAGAAAATAGCTTGATCCCCTTCCTCCCTGTGGCAGCCCCTCAAATATTGGAAGACCGCTATCATGTCTCCCCTGGTCCTTCTCTTCACTACACTAGCCATGCCCAGTTCCTGTAACCGTTCTTCGTATGTTTTGGTCTCCAGTCCCCTAATCATCCTGGTTGCTTTTCAGCAATAGTAGCACAAACTTAGAAGAACATTCATTTAATATAAGGAGTTGCTGAAAGAGGATATAAACCTACCTAGGTGCCAAAAAAAACACCTTGCCTTCAAATCCAAAACCCTGCATAGCTCTAATTTATATTCATTGACTTGGGTTTCAAAATCCAGTCCCACTCAGGTAGTGACAGTCATCACATAGAGGCTTGGCAACCTGTAACTTCTCCACGGAATTGAAATTTGGTCTATGAAGGAAAATTGGATTGAGTAGACAACTGAACTACTCTTCTTCCTTTATTTAGACACTTGCTACTTTTCCCTAGCCTAGTGACCAAAGGAGTAGAGGTGACATGATAGTCGTGTTCCAATATTTGAGGAGCCGCCACAAAGAAGAGGGAATCAAGCGATTCTCCGAAGCACTTGAAGGCAAGAAACAATGGATGGAAACTAATCGAGGAGAGAAGCAACCTGAAATTAAGGAGAAATTTCCTACCAGTGAGACTAGTCAATCAATGGAACAGCTTGCCTTCAGAAGTTGTGGATTCTCCATCACTGGAAGCTTTTAGGAAGAGACTGGACAGCTATTTGTCTGAAATGGTAGGGGATCTCCTGCTTGAGCAGAAGGTTGGATTAGACGACTTCCAATGTCCCTTCCGACTCTCTTATCCCGTTACTATCATCGTTCTCTTGAGATTAATCTAAAACACTACATTTAATTTAGCCAAGGCAGGAAGTAGGGTTCCAGTTCCTGACGTACCTTGATGATCTAGGAATTGCCACTAAAGAGCAGTCTTTGCCAAATGGATCCGCTCCAGCTCTGTTAGAATTCAGATTTTGTTATCCCCGTCCTAAGGAAATCACTGTTGTAAATATAGCGTAAGCCATTAACAGGGTGTGTATGTGGGAGTGTGGGCGGTGGTTTTTTTTTTTTTTAAAGAGGATGAGTCATTGCCAAAGCCATGCAAATTAGAATCAGCTCTATAACTCATGACAATTTAATATGGAAGCTCAGCATTCGTAGGACATCCCATGAATGTCACAATCCCTTCTCACATGTATTTCTCATCACGGCTTACATCACCCTACTTCTCATCTTCCCAAGAGAAAACCAAGTCAAGTTGTAACTCGGACTCCTGGAATCAGAATACGTCAAAAGACAACGCCTGAGAAGTTCTTAACTTCCCAGTGAAACAATATACAGGTAGTCCTTGACTTACAACAGTTCGTCTAGTGACCTGTTCAAAGTTTACAACAGCACTGAAAAATGTGACTTACGGCCATTTTTCACACTTACAACTCTTGCAGCATCCCCGTGATCATGTGGTCAGAATTCAGATGCTTGGCCACTGCTTCGTATTTATGACCGTCGCTGGGGCTCAAGGTCACGTGATCTCCTTTTGTGACCTTCTGACCAGCAAAGTCATGCACGTGCGACCCCCCCACGCCCTGCATGTCTTTGCACATGCGCACACATCTCCTGTGCACTCCCGCCCCCTGGGCATGTGCGCCACATATCAGCTGTTGGGTGGGCGGAGCACATGCATGTGCAGTAGACCTGCTCTGGGCAAGGGCTTGTGTGCCACCTCTGGCACGCGTGCCATTGGTTCGCCATCACGGGCCTAGTCAGTGGCACCAAATAATATAATCCCATACCAACTTGGAGACATCATCTCTAAAGTAAGAATGGCCGCAATTCTATTGGCCTGTTTTTAAGGTTTTAAAAACCTAGCTGTCTTCTAGGAGTCTGGAGCGCTGAATGTGCTAAATTTCTCTTTTTTTGGCTTTAGTGTTAACTATATGGTTTGCTATTTCAGCTGCCGTGTATATTTATTTTGGATATTATTGTTTTAAATGTTTTATTGTTTTAGTTGTGCTTATTATTTTGAAACTGTAACCGGCCCAGAGTCAAACAAACTGGCTTGTAGCAGTTTTTTAACAACAACAAAAACCCTGACCTAAACATATGTAGAGAGTCAGTTTGGTGTAGAGCAGGGGTCCCCAACCTCCAGGCCACGGACCTTTCGGAACCGGGCCGCACAAGCGATGGGCTTGTTATTTCTCCACTTGTGCAACTGGTGGCCACTCATGCTCGCTCAGGAAGCCCCATTTGTGTGAATGCCACTCGTGCCTGCACCTGCCACTTACACAGAACAATCCCCTCTCCACACCCCTGCCGGGCCACTAAGCTGGAAAAGTTTGGGACCACTGGTGCTAGAATACAGGAGCCTATGAGTTCTAATCCTGCCCTAGGCACCAAGCCACTTTGGGGGCCAGTCCCTCTCTCTCAACCTTAGGGAGAAGGAAGAGGCAATTCACTTCCAAAAATCTTGCCAAGAAAACTGCATGGATTTGTCCAGGCACTCGATACAAATAGTATTTGACTTACAAGTTTGTTTGGTGACAGGACGGAAAAAGTGACTTATATGACCATTTTTCACATGACCGTAACAGCACCCCCAAGGTCATGTGATCAAAATCCAGACACTTGGCTACTAACTCATACTTATGACGGTTGCAGTGCTCCGGGGATCATTTGATCACCTTTTGGGATCTTCTAACAAGCAAAGTCAAATGGGAAGCCAGCTTCACTTAACCATCCTCTTACCAATTTAGCAAGTACGGTGATTCACTTAACAATGGTGGCAAGGAAGGTCATAAAACGGGACAAAACTCAACTGTCTCCCTTAGCCACAGAAATCTGGGGCTCCATTGTGGCCGTAAGTCGAGGATCACCTCTACTGACTGGAAAGCACAAAACAAAGCTTATCCCGAAGGCAATAACCACAAGCCCCACTTCCGAGGGAAGGATGCTTCTTGAACGTGCCTCATAATAAGGAGCCTCGCAAGGCAAATTCCCCCCACGCAATGCCCGAAACAGACCCTTCCTCTCGTTTTCCACCGGTCAGCCTTTACAAGAGAGGCTGGTCGCCATAACTTTGAATTTCTCACCCGATCTGCTCGCACCCTTTACCTTTACTCAGCACACGGGAGAAAAACCTATTAACTGCACAAAGCGGCGTGGTCAATCTGTGAGTGGAGTGTTATACAAGGAGTTTAGCATACACTCACAACACTAAGCACGAAGAGGGGTGCAAACACTATCTCATTTAAAAAAAAAAAAAAAAGTAAAAACCCCACCCCGGGGAGAGGGAGGAAAAAGACACCACCAGAAGATCCCCGGTGCCCATTGACCTTCCATGTATACTGCGAGGAGGATCCTTGGGGTTCAGCTTCTGCTTTTGCTTGCTCCCTTTTCTTTCCTACCCCAACAAGAGTTGAGACCCAGCTCGCCCTGTGACCGGAGAAAACAACCCCTTCTAAGTCCCGCAATGTAACCTTACCAAATTCCCGACACCCGGCTTCTCATTTCCTCTCCGGCACTCTTTCCCAGGCACAAAAGTAATGGTTTAACTCTGGTTCCTAGAAAGTCCCCTATTTCGAAGCCGACCAATGTAGCGCCCTCTCTTGACCGGAGGAGTGTGTTTGCTCTCTTTGAGTCTCTTCGATTGGCAACCTACATTAAGTGCCATAATAATCTTCGCTTTCCCAAAGGTACTTTTTTCAGGAGGCAACTATTATTTATTATAAATAAACAATAACAAAAACAGGATAAAAATAGTAGTGGTGCTCCTGGTTCCTGTCGTCTGCAATGCTTCTCTGGAAATCCATTCCTGTATCAACACCATTCAAAGGCTGGTTATCCCAAATTGTATAGCTAAAAGTCTCGGGGAAAATGTATATTGTTATGGACTTACCCACCAAGCCAGGGCTCTCATACTTGAGCAGTGGATTGGACTAGAAAGACCTCCAAGGTCCCTTCCACCTCTGTTATTCTGTTAAAATCGATTAGAGTCATCTACCAGGTCATAGTTGTCCCAAAAGGTGCTTTTTCAGGAGGCAATTGGATTTTCTTGTATTTTCTTTGAAGATGTTTTGCTTCTCTTCCAAGAAACTTCTTCAGCTAAACAGCTACAAGTGCTTCAACGACCCAGTCTAAAAGGATGCAAATGACCAGCTTTCTGCAAGGAATATAAATCCTTCCGTTCCCCACCATCCAGTCAGAGCTGAAGAAATGAAGCAAAACGTCTTCAAAGAAAAAAACGAAGTCCAGTTGCCTCTTGAAAAAGCACCTTTATTGTGGGAAAAACAGGAAGAGGAGGAGGAGGAAGTATTGCTGTTTGGCTCCTTGAGTTATTTATAAATAATAACAAAGACAGGATAAAAATAGCATACTCTGCTATCATTGCCTGGGTCCAGCCACTAGATACGGATTGGGCAAGCTTTTCATTCCCTTGGCTTCAGTCTCCTGCTGACAGCTGGGTTGACTGCCCTCCTAAGCGACATTTGCCCACTCTGTATACAATTTGGGTTGAAAGGAGGATTTCCTTCCAACCCAAATTGTAGGCAGGCAAAGCACGGGGAGAAAACTTCTCTCTCTCTCTCTTAACTCCCTTTTGGCTTCTGAAGCTGACTGGCCAGGGGTGGGCTTCAAACATTTTAGCAAAGGGCTCTCTGTCCGGTTGCTGGATGGGTGTAGCCTAGTCTGGCCCTTGCACCACAGTGGGGGAGGGGGGCGTTTTCGCCCTCCCTGGGCTCCAGAGGTTTTCCTCAAGCCTCCAGGAGGGCGAAAACAGCCTCCCCGGGCTCCAGAGGCTCTCTGGAAGCCGGAAACGGGCTCATCATGAACTTCCGGGAGGCCCATTTTTCGCCCTCCCCGAGTCTCTGCGCACAGCCTGCACTTACTTGCATCCAAAACAGGCCATGTGGGGGGACTCCCGGGAGGGGAGGGGTGGGAGGGACCAGCCAGGAGTGGGATTTGGGGGTTCTCCGAATTGCACAGAATCTTAGCTAGGCGCTCTCCCCTGCAGCCCACCCCTGTCTACCTCACCATAAATCAAACTCCTTTCTGTCTTTTTTCTCAAGTCATCTTTATGTCTAACTTTAAAATCTCTGGCTCCTTTTTTTTTTTTTTACTTCTCAGGTTTACTTGTTCAAATTTTGTTTCTTCCCCTCTATGAGTGACTTCCCCAACAAACAAACAAACACACACACACACCCCCCAAAAGACTCCAGTTCAGATTTCCTTGCAGGCTCCCTGCCTTTTGGAGCCTTTTCATCTCATCCCCTGATCTTTGTCCCTCTTTGCTTTGATCTGCCCTGGAGTATTTACGATCCCTTCACTTCCTAACCCCCCACTTATTTCCTTGTTCTTTGTGACACCTGCCTATTTGCAGAAACTGTGCTCATTTCCTCAATTTGGTCACAACCCTTGAGTAAATTAAGCTTTTGTTCAAATTGCTCCTTGCACATTGAAAATCAATTCGTCATGGATAAAATTCTAGCCAAAGTTATATCTTGATGTACTAATTTTCTCTCTTGGGGGAAAAAGAATCTAAGAACTCAGATTATAAATCTAATTTACAGATCAATCAATGTAAGGGTCAATTCCAAAACAATTCCCCTTTGTGCAGTCTGATGAGATGTGGTCTATTCTGTTCCTTTATAATTTCCTTATTTCGTTCTGTTTACACCAGCCATGAGATATCCCAAGATTTGCACACCCCCAGTGCATCCAGTTTGCAGAATTCCAAGATGCGGATGGAAATATATAACATCTTGAAGGCACCAGTTAGAGGAAAGTAGCTTAGATCTACCATCTGTCAGAAGTAGGAAGAACCCATTGTTTCTTACTATCAAAATTAGAAGCCACACTACTGCAAGCAATAATAATATTGCATGCATGATAAATCAGTGCATCTTTTCTGCTTTCTGCACAGAGGTGGATTTGAAGCTGTACAGATGCAGATAGATAACTCAACAAGACGTCCATAACAAATTACATTTA